AGACTAGACTATAGACTACACTATAGACTAGACTATAGACTAGACTATAGACTAGACTATAGACTAGACTATAGACTAGACTATAGACTAGACTATAGACTAGACTATAGACTAGACTATAGACTAGACTATAGACTATACTATAGACTAGACTATAGACTAGACTATAGACAACACTATAGACTAGACTATAGCCTAAAGACTAGACTATAGACTAGACTATAGCCTATAGCCTATAGACTAGACTATAGACTAGACTATAGCCTATAGACTAGACTATAGACTAGACTATAGACTAGACTATAGCCTATAGACTAGACTATAGACTAGACTATAGACTAGACTATAGACTAGACTATAGACTAGACTATAGACTAGACTATAGACGAGACTATAGACTAGACTATAGACTAGACTATAGACTAGACTATAGACTAGACTATAGACTAGACTATAGACTAGACTATAGACTAGACTATAGACTAGACTATAGACTAGACTATAGACTAGACTAGACTATAGACTAGACTATAGATTAGACTATAGACTAGACTATAGACTAGACTTTAGACTAGACTATAAACTAGACTATAGACTAGATTATAGACTAGACTATAGACTAGACTATAGACTAGACTATAGACTAGACTATAGACTAGACTAGACTAGACTATAGGCTAGACTATAGACCAGACTATAGACTAGACAATAGACTAGACTATAGACTAGACTATAGACTAGACTATAGACTAGACTATAGACTAGACTATAGACTAGACTATAGACTAGACTATAGACTAGACTATAGACTAGACTATAGACTAGACTATAAACTAGACTATAGACTAGACTATAGACTAGACTATAGACTAGACTATAGACTAGACTATAGACTAGACTATAGACTAGACTATAGATAGACTATAGACTAGACTATAGACTAGACGATAGACTAGACTATAGACTAGACCTATAGACTAGACTATAGACTAGACTATAGACTAGACTATAGACTAGACTATAGACTAGACTATAGACTAGACTATATAGACTAAGACTATAGACTAGACTATAGACTAGACTAGACTAGACTATAGACTAGACTATAGACTAAGACTATAGACTAGACTATAGACTAGACTATATGACTAGACTATAGACTAGACTATAGACTAGACTATAGACTAGACTATGACTAACTATAGACTAGACGATAGACTAGACTATAGACTAGACTATAGACAGACTAGACTATAGACTAGACTATAGACTAGACTATAGACTAGACTATAGACTAGACTATAGACCTAGACTAGATAGACTAGACTATAGACTAGACTATAGACTAGACTATAGACTAGACTAGACTATAGACTAGACTATAGACTAGACTATAGACTAGACTATAGACTAAACTATAGACTAGACTATAGACTAGACTATAGACTAGACTATAGACTAGACTATAGACTAGACTATAGACTAGACTATAGACTAGACTATAGACTAGACTATAGACTAGACTATAGACTAGACTATAGACTAGACTATAGACTAGACTATAGACTAGACTATAGACTAGACTATAGACTAGACTATAGACTAGACTATAGACTAGACTATAGACTAGACTATAGACTAGACTATAGACTAGACTATAGACTAGACTATAGACTAGACTATAGACTAGACTATAGACTAGACTATAGACTAGACTATAGACTAGACTATAGACTAGACTATAGACTAGACTAGACTATAGACTAGACTATAGACTAGACTAGACTATAGACTAGACTATAGACTAGACTATAGACTAGACTATAGACTAGACTATAGACTAGACTATAGACTAGACTATAGACTAGACTATAGACTAGACTATAGACTAGACTATAGACTAGACTATAGACTAGACTATAGACTAGACTATAGACTAGACTATAGACTAGACTATAGACTAGACTAGACTATTGACTAGACTAGACTATAGACTAGACTATAGACTAGACTATAGACTAGACTATAGACTAGACTATAGACTAGACTATAGACTAGACTATAGACTAGACTATAGACTAGACTATAGACTAGACTATAGACTAGACTATAGACTAGACTATAGACTAGACTATAGACTAGACTATAGACTAGACTATAGACTAGACTATAGACTAGACTATAGACTAGACTATAGACTAGACTATAGACTAGACTATAGACTAGACTATAGACTAGACTATAGACTAGACTATAGACTAGACTATAGACTAGACTATAGACTAGACTATAGACTAGACTATAGACTAGACTATAGACTAGACTATAGACTAGACTATAGACTAGACTATAGACTAGACTATAGACTAGACTATAGACTAGACTATAGACTAGACTATAGACTAGACTATAGACTAGACTATAGACTAGGACTATAGACTAGACTATAGACTAGACTATAGACTAGACTATAGACTAGACTATAGACTAGACTATAGACTAGACTATAGACTAGACTATAGACTAGACTATAGACTAGACTATTAGACTAGACTATAGACTAGACTATAGACTAGACTATAGACTAGACTATAGACTAGACTATAGACTAGACTATAGACTAGACTATAGACTAGACTATAGACTAGGACTATAGACTAGACTATAGGATAGACTATAGACTAGACTATAGACTAGACTATAGACTAGACTATAGACTAGGACTATAGACTAGACTATAGACTAGACTACTAGACTAGACTATAGACTAGACTATAGACTAGACTATAGACTAGACTATAGACTAGACTATAGACTAGACTATAGACTAGACTATAGACTAGACTATAGACTAGACTATAGACTAGACATAGACTAGACTATAGACTAGACTATAGACTAGACTTAGACTAGACTATAGACTAGACTATAGACTAGACTATAGACTAGACTATAGACTAGTCTATAGACTAGACTATAGACTAGACTATAGACTAGACTATAGACTAGGCTATAGACTAGACTAGACTATAGACTAGACCATAGACTAGACTAGACTATAGACTAGACTATAGACTAGACTAGACTATAGACTAGACTATAGACTAGACTATAGACTAGACTATAGACTAGACTATAGACTAGACTATAGACTAGACTATAGACTAGACTATAGACTAGACTATAGACTAGACTATAGACTAGACTATAGACTAGACTATAGACTAGACTATAGACTAGACTATAGACTAGACTATAGACTAGACTATAGACTAGACTATAGACTAGATTATAGACTAGACTATAGACTAGACTATAGACTAGACTATAGACTAGACTATAGACTAGACTATAGACTATACTATAGACTAGACTATAGACTAGACTATAGACTAGACTATAGACTAGACTATAGACTAGACTATAGGCTAGACTATAGACTAGACTATAGACTAGACTATAGGCTAGACTGTAGCCTAGACTATAGACTAAACTATAGACTAGACTATGACTAGACTATAGACTGACTATAGACTAGCTATAGACTAGGACTATAGACTAGACTATTGACTAGACTATAGACTAGACTCTAGACTAGACTATAGACTAGACTATAGACTAGACTATAGACTAGACTATAGACTAGACTATAGACTAGACTATAGACTAGACTATAGACTAGACTATAGACTAGACTATAGACTAGACTATAGACTACACTATAGACTAGACTACTAGACTAGACTATAGACTAGACTATATACTGGACATAGACTAGACTATAGGCTAGACTATTGACTAGACATGCTAAACTATTGACCAGAATATTGAATATTAGCAGACTATTGACTAGCGTAGACTGAAAAAAGCAGAGAGATGTTTTACCCACCTCTCTATGAATGCACGGTCCCTGCTGTCAAGAGAAATTGATTTCTTGGCAACAACATTGTGTTTAACCTTTATGAGTTATCTTGATTTTCTGATATAACTTCATTATTAGTAAATAGCCACCTGACGAGTGGTGTTATTTAGCCAAACCGAGTCATTTTAACTCTACTTCTTTGTTTGCGCTTAGTGAATTGCCGTAATAACCATGAGCCAATCTGGACCTACATTTCCCATTTTTAAACCTAAAGGAGAAAATTTGTGGGAACTTCCATAAACTATCATACACCATTTTAAGGTTTTTTGTTCCATGATTGTTATTTCTAATTTCGAACATCAAAAACAGCTTGGACCCACCTGTTCAAAATATTTGCTATAAACTTTAAATTTAGCTTTGGAAACATTACAAACATGTAAAAAAATCAGATCGCACAATTTGCAAAAAAAAAACCAATTGAGCATGCGCAACGCCCAATTTTTAAAGATGTTTTTTTCGATGTGCTGCTGCTGCTGCAATTGTTTTTATTTATTTGTTTTGTTGTTTTCAAACACAAACAATCCGACAACAACAAGAAAATCGTCAACTCACTTGTTGCCTTCACTTGCAATATTACGTATACGACACACTGCTCGTATTAAATACGAAAACAAACATTGAGTAACAATAAAAAAAAAACAATTGCATTAAGCTTTGGTTAAATTCTAAAGTAGTAGTAGTTGTTGTTGTTTAATCAAAGCTTTTTATTGTTTTCATTGCAAGTGCATTCATTCTCTCTCAATAAGCCAGTTTGTTGTTTCAATAAAAACTCTCACTTTTTGTTTAAAGATGTTGTGTTTCTTGTTGTCTTTGTATGCGGATGTTTATACCAACAATCAGCAGATCAGTTGCATCTTTTTTTGAGGTGTGTGTGAGAGTGCCAGTATTTGTGTATGATTGTTAGAAGTAGTAGGGCTTACTGTTGCAGTTATTGTTGTGTTACATTAAATGCACTTGATGTGGCTGCTGTATGGCGTGGTGGTTGTAGTGTTGATGGTAATGTTGTTGGTAGTTGTTTGTAGTGATGGTGCTGCCAAGTTAAATTAAAGAAGAGTCTAAATCTAACGGCTTTAGATTTGCAAACAATTTTATTTTCATTTGAGTTGCAATAGTATAAAAACGTTTGCATTTTCTGAACAAACAACAAATAACACTTGACGAGCCTTCAAACGTAGACGTGTCTCGTTCTCAAAACGCGTGTGTTCTTTAAAACTTATTTTTATAAATATTCCAACTAAGGACACCCAACTCCATACTTAATTAACGAAAAGTTTACGTGTTTTGTTGAACAATCCAAAAAAATATATAAATAAAGTGAGTTCCTCTAGAAAGGACAATCAATCTAAAGAAATAATAATATAAAATAAGCAAAAACTAATAGTAAATTTAAAACTTGTGAATAATTTACATAAAAATTATTAAAAATAAAAAAATATTTAAATAAAATTCTTTACAATTTTTTAAAATTTTAAAAAAATATGTTAAAATTGAAAAATTACTAAAATTGGTTAATACATTCTTTATGGAAAATGTAATTCTTTAATTAACTATAAAGCGTCAGTTCCAACTGTCATATTAACATTTGTCAAAATAAGCCTAACATTTATTTAAACCAATATTTAGTTGCACTTAAGTACATGACTTTTGTTAGCGGTATTTGTTGTTTAAAAAAAAAGTATTTGTTCATATTAATGTTAATTATTTAACGTATTAAAATGTGCGTTTATTGTTAATGCAACAAGTTAATGGATTACTGATAATTAAGTCTGCTAACTAATTGTTTGATTTTAAGTTTTTTCTGCTACTTGTGGTTTTATTACAAGGTTTATATGGACGGATGGACGTCATCAAATTGTATTTGAAATCGATATAAGTTAGGATGGGTATCGGGTGTGAGATTGATTTTATGTTGTAAACGTCAAAAGCATAACTTTAGTTTAATACAACTATACAAAATTTGACGAGAATTTAGACGAATGTAGAGCATGCGAAGATGACATGAAACTCTGAAACACATTCTTTGCCACTGTCAGGCTTTTGTCGTAATGAAATCCAGGACTACCACACATTCCTATCGGATTGGGTTTGACCTTCAAGGTTTTGAGGATTAACGTTATTCGCGTTTACTAAAACTTCAGATGTAAATTTGACATTATCTCGAATTATTTAATCGTTAAAAGTTTTATATAAAATGTATAACAGTAAAGAATAATGCCTGTGAAAACCTTTCAGAGCCTTGGTGCCACCAGTTAACATGTTCCGATAGCGCAACATATTTTCAGAAAGCATATCTTTAACTTTAAGTATTAGTCTGGAGGTTGAAACTACCAATATTCGCAACTTCTGTAAAATTGAAGAATTTTATATTTGGGACTCAAGTATTCAGTCAGAAGGACTGAAAGATAAAAATGTGAAAAATTGGTGGGTGATACAACTTTTTTATTTCCATATTCGGAATCAGCAGACCAAATAACACTTTGATAAGTAGAAGGAAATTATTTAAAACGTTTTTTCAACGTTGAAAAAACGTTTATGAAGGCGTTAGAGCCTTCATAAAGCACTTCACATCAAAACTTCCAAGTAAAAGAGAATCTAACCTAAAAATTTTATTTAAACTTAGATAAGAAACATATTATACTCTGTTATCTAAATCTGGTTTTTATTTTCAAGTCATCACGATATATGGTAAAACATTCTGACTTCAAACGATCTTCTTTAATTAGGACAGTCTTAAAGTAAATCAGATTAAATAAAATATTAACGTTTGTTCGTAATCGATAAACTGAGGAACTTCGGAATCTGATAGGATAAAATTTCAAATATATGTTTCAGAGATCGTGAGAAGTGTTCCTGTAAAGTTTAAAATTTAATTACACTAAAACCGCAAAAACCGATCTGAGGGCTATATAGACATTTACGTGTAGATTCCACTTTTCCAATCAAAAGCCTGCAACGCGTACCAGGCACCACAAGTAGACGATAATTTGGTAAATTATGATAGTTTAATTTTTTCTTCTTTTCAAAGTTTCTTTTCTTTGAGAAAGGTATAATCAGAAAAGCAAAATATGAAAATAATTATTAATTGATTAGTAAATCTTTGGTACTAAAATGAGTAAATCGGCCAACTAAGTTTTTTATTAGAACAAAATATACACCATTAAAAAAATAACTTAACTAAACGCTAAAATTTAACAGAAATGTGTACAAAAATGGGCCAAATATTGTTATTTATCAGCTTTTATGCATCCCTCATATTTCTCTACTAAAATCTAAAGTAATGGCAATTGAAAGGCAAAAATTAAATTGTTGACATTATTCCAAAAGTAAAAATTTTGAGAACTTGTTAATGGTAAAATGAAAATGATTGCTGGTATTATTATTATTAGTATTATTTTTCCGTGAAAAACCCCAATCATAATATTGAAAGCACAATATTTATACTCTACACCTCTACAGTGAGAAGCGTATTATGCGTTAATGCTGAGGTTTATAACACTCAAAAATATTGATCCTACACCCACCGTAAAGTATACCAATCAAAGTCGATTAATCTATGTCAGTCTGTGTGTCCAAGTAAAACCCGTAAGCAGGCTACAAGAAATGAAATGATGAAATTGCTTTAAGAACGACAGCTATAGAAAATGGTAGAATTCGATACATTATTTCACCCAGTCCTCATACAACCGGTCATCTCTAAGTTCCTTAATTAAATTTAACTTATAATTATAGAAATTTTCAACTACATAATGTTACATAGCATTTAAAAAATTTAATTTTCTATAAAACCCTACATGCATTATTTTTACAACTTAGTTAATAAATAAATATTAACTAATTGAAACGTGACATTAAACTGATAACCTTTAGTTCCACAGAAATATTACTTAATACGTACAAGCCACTCAAAATGTTGGAACTAAATAAATATTATAAAATTTCAACTTAATTATAAACATCAATCAAAATATTCGTGTAAATGAAATTTATGTAAATGATATTATATATTTTTTTCGCACACAAACAGATCATGAAATCCATTGTATTTGCTGTTCTCTGCTGTATGACTGTTGTTGTGTCGGCTCAACGTGGTATACCACCACCACGTGGAAATTCTTTCGACGCCAATGCTGTGATACTTAAACAGGATTTCAATTTGAATCCAGATGGTTCATACAACTACAAGTGAGTAGACTAATAGTTAATCATCGTCAACACATGTTTAGTAAAAAATTTAAAATTAACATAAAAACTAAAATAACGTTTAACTTTAAACGAAAGAACACACCTTGCCATCATGAATTTCATAGTTAGAAACGAAAAACTTTGTTAAGAAATTACAAAAAATTTGGCCTTTTACGAAAACGTTATAACGCCAAACATTATTCGCACAAATATTAGCATATAGTGTGTTTTAGTTTTGATTTTTTTTTTCATTTTTTTTTTTTTTGTTTCAGTGGGTCTACAATTTACATAAAATTATTGAGTGCAATCTTAATGTCACTAAACTAATTTAATGATTTTTTTGTTTTCTAATTTTTATTTTACAGTTATGAAACTAGCAATGGTATACGTGCTGATGAAGCTGGTTATCTTAAGAATGCAGGCAATCCTCAATTAGAAGCTCAGGTAATTATTATTAGTTTTTTATGTTTGTTTTTGGTTTTATTTAATCAGTTAGGAGTTTTTTCTTTGGTTTAAAAAACCGTAATGTGACCTAAATATTGTATATGCCAAAGTGTTATTTGCATAATGTAGATGTAATCAGTTTAAAATTGACATGGGCGGTAACTGCAATAAGCAGTTGTTGGCCAAAATAAAAATATACAAATAATTTTAAGTATGCAGCATAGTTTTAGGCTAAAAAAACTATTGAGGAAGCTTTTAAAGCTTTGACAAATGCTATATACTTGAGGCATACTTTTAGGATATAATAAAAGAATTAAAAAAGTTACCACATTATTGGCAAGAAAACGCTTAAAACATATAGTCTGTAGCTTAGAATTTCGACAAGTCTAAACTATAGTCTGCAGACCAGACGTCTGGTCTATACCCAAGACTATAGTTTGGTGTATGGCCAACTATAGACTGGCCTATACCCAAGTCTATAGACCGGTTGTAATCTTTTATAGAGCTAAGACTATAGACTGGCATATAGCCAAGACTATAGACTGCTCTACAGCCAAGACCACAGTCGGGTCCCTAACCAAGATTATAGATCTGTCTATAATCATGAATATACACTGCTCTATAGTTAAAAATGTGGTAGAATGATCTATAGTCAAGACTATAGACTAATCTACAGAGAAGACTATAGACTGATCTATAGTCAAGACTATAGACTGATCTATCGTCAAGACACTATAGACCGATCTAAAGTCAAGACTATAGACTGATCTATGGTCAAGACTATAAACTGATTTATAGTCAAGACTATAAACTGATCTATAGTCAAGACTATAGACTGATCTAAAGTCTTGACTTTAGATCAGTCTATAGTCTTCTCTGTAGATTAGTCTATAGTCTTGACTATAGATCATTCTACCACATTTTTAAACTAGACTGATCTATAGTCAAGATTATAGGCTGATCTATAGTCAAGGCTATAGACTGATCTATAGTCAAGACTATAGACTGATCTTAGTCAAGACTATAAACAGATTTATAGTCAAGACTATAGACTGTTCTATAGTCAAGACTATAGACTGATCTAAAGTCAAGACTATAGACTGATCTATAGTCAAGGACTTTAGTCTATTGTCAAGACTATAGACTGATCTATAGTCAAGACTATAGACTGATCTATAGTCAGACTATAGACTGATCTATAGTCAAGACTATAGACTGATCTATAGTCAAGACTATAGACTGATCTATAGTCCAAGACTATAGACTGATCTATAGTCAAGACTATAGACTTATCTATAGTCAAGACTATAGACTTTAGACTGATCTATAGTCTAGACTATAAACTGATCTATAGTCAAGACTATAGGCTGATCTATATTCAAGAATATAGACATATCTATAGTCAAAACTATAGACTGATCTATAATCAAGACTATAGACAAACCTATAGTCAATACTATAGACTGAACTATAGTCAGGAATATAGACTGATCTATAATCTAGACTATAGACTGATCTATAGTCAATACTATGGTCTGATATATCGGTCTATTGTCTGAAAATCTATCGCTTTTACTCTATTCTCTCCTACGTCGTCTTATTTTTAATTTTTCCCAATATTTTCAGGTAATGCAAGGCTCTTACTCCTACACCGGACCTGATGGTGTAGTATATACCATCACTTATATTGCCGATGAAAATGGTTTCCGTGCCGAAGGTGCTCATATTCCAACACCACCACCAGTAGCTGCTCCCGGTGGACCCAGAGGTAGATTCTTCTAATAAATACATTAAAACTTAATGTATTTCTAAAACAGCATTAAAGAAATATTAACAAAAGAAACAGTGTACTTCCAAGCTAAACAAGAGATTAATTAATACACATATTAAACGGCAAATAGTTGGCAACTATTACAAAACATAAATCATGTGGCAACGCTAATAATAAAAACATACTTACATTTTAAGCACACACACAAGATGAAAAATCCCAAATACAACTGCACACACATATGTACATGTCAACAGCAACACATTCACTTATACATCACCGAGTTGTATTAATCCCTATTTTTTGTAAAGTTAGCCCACATTTCCGGGCACTATCAGCAGTTTCCAATTCTAACGATAATCTATATACACACTACACTTTATTTCCAGCTCTTCCTCTTTTGATTATCCTGTTCAATCCTTTCCATGACAGTAATTCTCCCTCTCTCTCTCTCTTTATTGTATTTATATTTACCTTCTTCTATACACTCTTCAATGTTTATTGTGATCGTATTTCTTTCTATTCATTTTCATACACTTTTTTTATAACTTTTTCATATGTTTTATTATTTTATTTAAGAGAAACAGAGAAGCTAAATAAATTTAACAATTTATTATAAATTTTTTATGTATAAATATTTCATTTTTTTATTTTAGTTGATAAATAAACAGAATTTTTATGTAATTTGTTTTGTTAATTAAAATATTGTTTAAATTATTTGTTAAAACCCATGTTAAAACAGCAAATATTGAAATAAGTTTTAATAAGAAATTTTTGTTTTATTAAGTATGGCAACTACGCAATAAATAAATTGCGCAAAAAACTTACAATAAAATTGTGTTTTATTATAAATTATTATATTTAAAAAGTTAAAAGTAGTTGCCAGATTTATTCTATTTCGATTTCCTGGTTGAAGAGGAACGTTTACAGGGTATACCACTTGAACGAGGTGTAGTCACTTGTTTGGGGGAGTTCAAAGGTTTAGGGCTATTAGATCGGGAAGAAACTGAAGCCATGCCAATACCAGGTACAGTTTTATAGTTGAAACCTCCTCCCTCTAATCTAGCATTTAACATTCCTTTGGAGGTTGCTGATGTTACTTTTCCGGGTGGTGGTGATGCAGTTTTTATTCTAGGGCTAATGCTTTTAGGTTTTCGTTTCGGCTCCTCCTCTTCATAAATCACATTTTGTTCAAACATTAGCAAGAGATGAATTCTTTTACAATTATTATCCACAAATTTCATGGCTCTATTTAAGGACTCTATTTTTAAATCCCCCTTTGTTTTGTTATGCTGATCGTAAAGTCGGTGAAATTTCCCTACTGACTGTACACTGCCCGTTACTATTGATTCCAAAAACTCGTATTTCGTACCGATTTTCAGGGCCAAAACATTGTCTCCATCAGCTGGAACAAGATCTTCTACCTTTGCCACTGGTTTAATATGAATATTCCTCAACTCTGCTTTAGCTAAACGTAAACTACGTTTACAAAGAACCTGCATACGTTTATCGGGTTTAAAAATTTCATCCAATAGATTTATCTTTGTCTTAGATTGGCCATATTTATTGTAAGTAAAAATAATGCCCACCAGTAAGGAACCTAAGGCCATAACACCCATAAGCGAGTATAAAACTTGCCACAGCATGACATTTGTTTTGGACTCTGCTCCATAGCGTGGTGCCCTTTCAATATAGTCACTAACAATGTCCAGAAGTAGTGAATTACAATCTTGCAGCGACAAACGTTTGGGATGTATTCCGATAGGTATTTTCTGAGACAGAAGCTCTGTCGTTCTATCCGGAAATATAAAATTCTTTACTGTCGTCCAGAAGAATGTTGTGGAGGGTTTTACTTCGTTCAGTAATTCGGTACAGTGCCTTACTGCCTGACGAAACCAAGCTACACAAATTGTACCTAATTCCAAGTCGGGGTGTAATGATTTGCAAAATTGTTCCATATATGTGTTAGGATACTGGAAAGAAAGTAACGAGTAATGAAATTTAATAACAAATATTTCTAACAGATAAGGATCTTGGAAAAATTATAGACCAATAATCATTTTGATATTTAATAAAGATCCCAAACATTACATTATCAACATATTTATAGCTATTCCACAGTATTTCTACAATGCACAGTGGGACAGAAAGGAATTTTTCTGGAAATAAATTTGTTATGAAAATGGAGGCTCCAATTTGAAGTTAGTTAGTTAGGATGTATGTATGTATGTATGTATGTATGTATGTATGTATGTATGTATGTATGTATGTATGTATGTATGTATTGTATGTATGTATGTATGTATGTCTGTATGTATGTATGTATGTCTGTATGTATTGTATGTATGTCTGTATGTCTGTATGTCTGTCTGTCTGTTTGTATGTCGTATGTCTGTCTGTATGTCTGTCTGTTGTTTTGTCTGTCTGTCTGTCTGTCTGTCTGTCTGTCTGTCTGTCTGTCTGTCTGCTGTCTGTCCGTCTGTCTTCTGTCTGTCTGTCTGTCTGTCCTGTCTGTCTGTCTGTCTGTCTGTCTGTCTGTCTGTCTGTCTGTCTTTTCTGTCTGTCTGTCTGTTGTCTGTTGTCTGTCTGTCTGTCTGTCTGTCTGTCTGTCTGTCTGTCTGTCTGTCTGTCTGTCTGTCTGTCGTCGTTGTCTGTCTGTCTGTCTGTCTGGTCTGTCTGTCTGTCCTGTCTGTCTGTCTGTCTGTATGTATGTCTGTAATGTATGTATGT